AGTTTTCTATAGAAAATTTGCTCCTTTTAGAGCATAGTTTTCTATAGAAAATTTGCTCCTTTTAGAGCATAGTTTTCTATAGAAAATTTGCTCCTTTTAGAGCATAGTTTTCTATAAAAAATTTGCTCCTTTTACAGCATAGTTTTCTATAGAAAATTTGCTCCTTTTAGAGCATAGTTTTCTATAGAAAATTTGCTCCTTTTAGAGCATAGTTTTCTATAGAAAATTTGCTCCTTCTAGGGCATAGTTTTCTATAGAAAATTTGCTCCTTTTAGAGCATAGTTTTCTATAGAAAATCTGTTCCTTTTAGAGCATAGTTTTCTATAGAAAATATGCTCCTTTTACAGCATAGTTTTCTATAGAAAATTTGCTGCTTTTAGAGCATAGTTTTCGATAGAAAATTTGCTCCTTTTAGAGCATAGTTTTCTATAAAAAATTTGCTAGTTTTCTATAGAAAATTAGCTCCTTTTAGAGCATAGTTTTCTATAGAAAATTTGCTCCTTTTAGAGCATAGTTTTCTATAGAAAATTTGCTCCTTTTAGAGCATAGTTTTCTATAGAAAATTTGCTCCTTTTAGAGCGTAGATTTCTATAGAAAATTTGCTCCTTTTAGAGCATAGTTTTCTATAGAAAATTTGCTCCTTTTAGAGCATAGTTTTCTATAGAAAATTAGCTCCTTTTAGAGCATAGTTTTCTATAGAAAATTTGCTCCTTTTAGAGCATAGTTTTCTATAGAAAATTAGCTCCTTTTAGAGCATAGTTTTCTATAGAAAATTTGCTCCTTTTAGAGCATAGTTTTCTATAGAAAATTTGCTCCTTTTAGAGCATAGTTTTCTATAGAAAATTTGCTCCTTTTAGAGCATAGTTTTCTATAGAAAATTTGCTCCTTTTAGAGCATAGTTTTCTATAGAAAATTTGCTCCTTTTAAAGCATAGTTTTCTATAGAAAATTTGTTCCTTTTAGAGCATAGTTTTCTATAGAAAATTTGCTCCTTTTAGAGCATAGTTTTCTATAGAAAATTTGCTCCTTTTAGAGCATAGTTTTCTATAGAAAATTTGCTCCTTTTAGAGCATAGTTTTCTATAGAAAATTTGCTCCTTTAAGAGCTTAGTTTTCTATAGAAATTTGCTCCATTTAGAGCTCATTATTCTAAAGAAAATTTACTCCTTTAAGAGTTCAGTATTCTATAGAAAATTTCTTCCATTTTGAGCTCAGTTTTCTATACAAAATTTGCTTTATTAAGAGCTCATTATTCTAAAGAAAATTTACTCCTTTAAGAGTTCAGTTTTCTATAGAAAATTTTGCTCTATCAACATCAGATTTTATGGGGTGCAGTTTCTTGTAGAAAGTTTGTTCTTTTTCGTCTTCAGTTTTCTATAGAAAATTTGTTCTATTTCGGTAAATCTTCATCCATATGGGCCCAATTTTTGTATACAACATATTCCCCTTTGCTACTATTGCATCAAGCAAGAACAATTTTGATTTTTTTCCCATATATTATATTCCTGCTTTTAGATCTTTCCCCCTCGCATAGTGTTTCCCTCTTTTTTGGGTAAATGAAAGTCCATTTTATTTTTGTAATTTCAAAAATTCAATTTTTTTTTTATTTTTCTTTTCATATTATCATTCTTTAAATATATTTATGTATATATTTTTATTATTTTTTTTTTAGCAATTTATTATTACAGTAAATTGTTTGTTTTTTGTATTATAATTATTAAGATTACTATTATTATGCAATGTTTGTATTTGTAATATTTAACAACAAATGGTTTATTTTTTTATAAGGTTTCTTTTCATGTTTTTATTATTATTATTATTTTTGTAAGATTAAAGTAAAATAAGTATTTTTTTGTATATAAATGTATAATATTATTTGTTTTTATAATGTATGTATATATATATTTTAAAGGATATAAAAGTTTATATAATGTATAATTATATATTTAATTAAAAAAAAATATGTTTAAATAATAAAAAAAATCAATGCTATTTTTTATAAATTTGTATATGTCACTATTTCTTTTGGGTGATAAAATTATAAAAAAAATAAACTATTGTAAATATATGTATGTATTTTGTTTCGTAGCAATTAAACAGTCTTTGAAAAAAAAAAAACAATTTTTTTTAGCTTTTTGTGGTTTTTGGGGGGTTTGTTTTAGCGGATTTTAAATAATAAAAATATATAGATAAAAATTTATAGAAGATAAACATTGTTTTTTTTTTTTTTTTTGATAATTATACGTTTAAGTTTTAAGTAAATTAATTAATAATAAAAATATAATAATAAAAATATATAAGGTTAACAGTAAAAGTTGTTGTTGTTTTTTTTAATTTATTTTATTTAGTTAAAAATAATAATTAACAAAGTTATGATAGTAATAGGTAAAAAAAAGTAGTTAAATTATAAAGAAAATATTCCATATTTATTTTTTGTATTTAATTTTCATTTTTATGTTTTTTTATTTAGAGGTAAGTTTAAAGGTTGCTTTTGTTTGTTTTCAATTCATTTACTATTTTTGTTTTTTTTTTATTGTTTTTTTTTGGGGATTTTTTCTATATATTTTGGAATATTGTTTTATTGAGAGGATTTGTTTTTGTATAATATTGTAAAAAAAAATTATAAAAAAAAGTGCGAGGATTGTTTTTATATATAATTTTATGTATATATATAAAGGTTGTTGTATTTTTTGGTTGCAATTTGTAACAAAAATATTTTCTTTTTTATTTTATTTTTTTATAAATTATTTTTTTTTCTTTAGAATTTCTATTAGGAAATATAAACCGAGATTTCTATGTACAGTTATTGAAAAAAATTCAAAAAAATCAATCAATCAATAATAATAATTCAATATTTTCTAGTTTTTATAAAATGTTTTTTTCTTGTTTTTTTTTTTTTTTTTTTTTTTTTAACAAAGCTTTAGAAGTTTTTTTTTTTTATAAAAAAATAAATGCTATTTTATATATACAGTTTTTATATTTAAAAAAAAAGCAAAAAAAAAAAATAAAATAAAAAGTTTTTTTAAAACCCCATTAAACCTTAAATTAAAATTCACTTGTAGTTTATTAAACGGGGAATTTAACAGGGATTTGTTTTATAGTTTAAACTTTTTATATTCATTTAAAATCTAGTGTATTTTTTTGAAATCCTTTCAATAGTTTAGTTTCATATATATTTTATATAATAATAATTATAATAAATGTAAATATTATCTGTTTATAGTTTAAAAATATTATTTAAGATTTTTTTTTATATGTATAAGTATATAGTTTAATATGAAAAAGAAACAAAATATTAAAAAAAAAACTTATTAGCAAAAAACATCGACAGTTAATCAGTTGGGTATAAGAACGCCCAACCTCGTTTTTGTTTGCTTAATTTAAAAATGTTAAATAAAAAAAATTCTAAATCAAGTAATAAAATTTAAACAAAAAAAAAACAAAACTTGAGCTTTCCAAATTTTTACATTAAAAAAAATTACTTAAACTAGCCTTAAGCTGGTTTAGTTAAACTAGCTTTAAACTAGTAGTTTGATCAAGTTTTGTTATCCTTTTTTGTGTTGACATCAATCCTAAAAATATTTGTCAATATGCTTAGTTTAAGTTAAGTTTTTTTAAATTTGCATTTTATTTCCATTATACAAAATTAATTATATATTTTAGAATATATATTTATTGTTAAAAAAAAAAAAAATAATAAAAAATTTTATTATTAATAATTATTATTTATATATATATAGTTAGTTATATAATTGAAAAGAAGAAAATGTAAATATGAATTAAAAAAAAAATCAATTCAATTAACACTTTATTATAATAATAATTAAAAATTAATATTTTTAGTTATATATTTATATATATATAAAGTTGTTTTCATTTAAATTTTAATTAAAATATAAACAAAAATAATGCTAAGCAATATTTACTTTAGAATTACATATTAAGTTTAATAAAAAAAAACCGAAAAAAAACTAAATCACTTGTGGTCCAAAAAAAATATTAAACAAAAAAAATAAATGTTCAAAACTTTAGGAAGCATTTTGTAAAAACTAAAATATATTAAAGCCGTTAAAGAAAAGAAAAACTATAAAAAAAATATAAAACCAAAAAAATATATCAATTCAAATCCAAACAAATTAATTCAATAAAAGCACGCGCTTGCGTTCTACTCTCAGGCTCAAAGTTAAAAAAAAATATTATTTTTCCACACTCACTGTCCGTGACTTCACTTTATTTATGACTTTCGTTGTTCACTTTGTTCTAACACTTCACTTTTTGTTTTCATGCCCAATCGTTCAGGCGATCTTCTGTCTATACTCTACTCTTCCACTTCTAGCTTTTTTCTTTTAAGCTCTGTGGCGTCTAGCTTTAGTCCTTTTTCTTTATAGTAACTCCTAAAAGCTTTTAGTTTTTGTAATTAAACTGTTTCAGTTAGTTGCTGGTAAAATTTTTTGTTAAATTTTTGCTGTTTTATTTTATTTCAAATTTCCTTTTTTTGTCACCAGCTTAAAATCTTAAGATTTTTTGTGGCTATTGTTTTTCTTTTTCTTCTTTTTTTTTAATTAAATTATCACAAAAAAAATTATTATTATTAAAAATTAAAAGTTAAGCAAGTAGAAAAAAAAATATTACAAAAGTTTTTAAAAATATATGTCAAAAAAAAAGTTATTATTTCTTCCATATTTAAAATTAACAAATTAAAAAAATAATTCACTTACAAGCTATAATAAAAATTTAAAAAAAAAAACTCAATTTAAATTTTCAAATTCAAAAAAAAAAAGTAAAACTTTTTGTTAATCAAAAAAAAAAAAAAAAAAAAAACTTTTTACCAAAAAAAGCTCTAAATAGCTTGTTAAAAAGCTCTCTAAAAAATAATTTTTTTAAAGATAAAAGCTTTTTAAGCGTTCCAGACGCTTTTAAACAAAGCTTTTCGTTTGTTTTTTTTTTCTTTCTTCTTTCTAAAGGTGACAGTTATTTTTTTTTTGATAAATTTATATCAAACCTTAAACTTAGCTTTATCAATCCACCTGTTGAGCCGCTCTCAACTGGGCTAAAAGTTCTTGTTTACGTCTAAGTTCTTCCTTAAGTTTAGCTTTTTGCTCCAACAGCTGTTGATCTTCACGTGTCAAGGCCTCACATAGTTTGGCAGCCTCACGTAAAATATTCACCTTGGGTGCCCGTTCCTTATCCTTAATGCTGGGTATTTGTTTTTTCAAAGCCTCAAAGAGATTTTTCAAGCCAATACGACGTTGACGTTCCATATCATTATGTAAATTACGCTTCTCAATGGTATCGGCGGTCTCATCTACACTATAATGACGTTTCAATATGCCATTGGGCAATTGTACAGCGGTAACCAAATGTTTGGTTTTCTTGCCACGATGTTTCTTAGTGGGTGGCATGCTGGCCACCGAAGTAACCGAGACACTCAATTCACTGCTATTCAAAAGATTTGAATTTTGTCCAGCATTGGCCAATAAACGTTTACGTGATTTATCATTAGAACTTAAGATATTAATGGGTGCACCGCTAGCAGAATCGGTTACTACTACAGCCATCATTTGTTGTTGCTGTTGTACGTATTTAGTGGTATATTGATTTTGATAGGGTGTGGCGGTCGGTGAGGGGAAACGTGAATTATTGACAGACTTAACCGGACTACTGCTGGCTGGGGTATAGGGGAATTCATAGGAACCGCGACGTGGTGGTATGGTGCGTATGCCATTAGGATTCTTAACAATGCGAGCAGCATTAAATTTATGAGCTACCTTGGTCTGGAGAACACGACGATCCTTATCCGAGGGATTTGTGGGTAATTTTTTGTCATTAATCGAAACAACATCGATTTCTTCTTCTGCAAAAAGAGAGAGAGAGAGGGAAAGAGAAATTAGTATATGTTTTCTTAAAAAAAATAAAGCTTAATAGAAGAGCTTACATTTTTATAAAGGGGAAATTGAAAAATTTTATAAAAAAGGCAAAGTCAATAACTTTTCTTTAAAAACTTTTCTTAAATGACAAGCAGTTTTAACAGACAATCAACTTGTAACTAATGTTACACTTCCAGTCAATACTTAATGAAACAAATATTGTATAAGAGCAGCAGCATATTATGTCATCATTCATAAGAATTGAAGAAGAACAAAAAAAAAAAAAAAACATAAAAAACATGTCGTCATCTTATGCTACAAGAACATGAGAAAGCCTTCTCATACCAAACACCACCCACTTTACAATTTAATCCTACTTTCCTATTCGAACGTTCGTGTACACTGTGAAACAAGTCTTCTGTGGTATGTTGTAAAGTTCATATACACTTTAAGCAATTATTCATTCATAGAAAGCTTTAAGTACTAAACATCATAATTATTATATAACAGCAGGCAGCCAGGCAGGCTGTAGGGTAGAGATTTGGTTTCTTTTTTTGGAGCACACAAGTAAAAATATGTGACACACACGATTATAGATCATTGAAGTAGAAATATGACAAAAAAAATGCAATGACTTTTAAAGCCGATTATCTAGAGAGGAGGTAAAGTAATGTACTTGTTCTTTTTCTGTTTTTTTGCCTCCAATATAGCTTCCTTAACACAATTGTGAAAACATGTTTAAATTATTAAATTATTCTTGCTGTACTACATACATATACATATAAACATAAAACTATATCTATAACTTTTCTAAGTCACTGACCTTTGGTTGGCTGGTGTATACATATATGGGTTGTAAATCTAATGTCAGTCATGTTGTTTGGTGTAAAAGCAAAAATAATAATAATAAAAAAAAAACTAGCAAAAAGTTTATATATAACTGTAATATTTTTGGCGCCCTTTAGACGATTTCTTTTTAGGGCTGGTATAATAAAATCATTTAAAGGCCATAAATCCTAAAAGACAACAACAACAACAATAACAGCAACTATAAATGGTTTACAACTTAAGTTGAAAAAAAAAAGAATTGTAGAAAAGCAACATTTTTAAGGGGCAGAAAAGCAAATTGTTTTTAAAAATATAATATTTAGAAAATAAGCTTAAACTAAAAAAAAAGCTTTTAAATTATTGATTTGAAAAAAGGTAAATGGTATTTATTTAAAAAATTTAAAATTTTTTTGAAGATTTTAAAGAAAACAGCTTTAAACACCATAAGTATTGTAAAAGCTTTTTTTGAAGATTTTAAAGAAAAAAAGGTTTAAACCTAATAAGTATTGTAAAAGCTTTCTTTAAAAATCCTTAAAATTTTAAGAAAAGCTTTATAAAGACGATAATTAATTTGTTTTATGCTTTAAACAAAAAAGCTTTTAGTAATTTCAAGCTTTAAAAGCTTTTTCAAGAGAAATTTTTTAATTTGTTTAAAGTCTTTAAAGAAAAAAGCTTTAAAAGTAATAAGTATTGTAAAAGCTTTTTGAAAACTTTTTAAAATTAAAGTAGCAAATTGTTTCAAAAAAAGCTTTATAGAAGTTGTATTTTGCTTTATTTGTATGTTGTAAATAAAAAGCTTTTAGTATTTAAAAGCTTTTGAAAGCCTCTAGTTTTAAGAAAAGCTTTATAAAAATGTTTCTTAAATTGTTTTTATGCTTTAAAGAAAAAAAGCTTTTAGTAATTTCAAGCTTTAAAAGCTTTTCCAAGAGAAATTTTTTAATTTGTTTAAAGACTTTAAGGAAGAATAGCTTTCAACATATACTTATTATGTAAAAGCTTTTTTAAAAAAATCCCTTGAAAACTTTTGAAGAGTTGCAAGTTGTGTCTAAAAAAGCTTTATTAATATATTATAAATATAAAGCTTTTAGTATTTATAAGCTTTTAAAGCTTCCAGTTACAAGAATAGCTTTATAAAAATGATTTTTAATTTGTTTTTATGCTTTAGAGAAAAAAGCTTTTAGTAATTTCAAGCTTTAAAAGCTTTTGCAAAAGAAATTTTTTATTCTCGGTTTTAAATAAAGAATTTTTATATTTTTTTGTAATAAAAAGCTTTTTTAAAGCTTTAATTACAATAAAATTATATTTTTCTTTTAAAACCCTTATCCCATGACAAGAAAAAGGATATCTACGCCTACTCCTTTGCTTTATAGTATTCTTTTTACTTTACTTTTTCAAGGTTCAAAAGGTAATAAAACAAATAGGCCCAAAAAAAATTTGTATCAAAAAGAATTGTATAACGTCTAATAGGCATATAGAAAGATAGCTAGTTTTGTTGGTGGTGGTGATGGTGGTTGGGTGGCGAAGAGCCTATATAGCTAAATACACTTGACGTTAACAAACAGCAATGCGGCGTCAAGAGCGCTCGACACACTTAAACAGAAATCTTCCGCCTAGCAACAACAAAACACTAAAATATATTTCAAGAAAACGAAAAGTTGAAAAAAAAATTTTAAATGTATTAGTGCTCTAGTCGAAATTGTTGTTGGCTGGCTGGCATTGTTAGGCCTATGAAGAAAAAAATAGCAACTAAAAAGTAATAGATAGAAATAATATAACACAAACAATGTCTAATGCTTAGAAAGCTGAAAAAAAAACATAGCAATAACTAATACAATAGGCCGATCGAGCGTTGTGTGACTAGCCTTACTCAATTTTTAAACCTTATTGGGTTAAGGGAATCTAGTGTTTAAAAGGGAGCTCTGTATGTAAAGAGTTACAGCTGATTTGAATATTTCTTTTGGATTTTTTTTTCTTTCGAATTTTTATTTAAATTTTAATTAACATTTCACAAGTATGCCGTTACGTTTTAAATTAACTTCAACAATTTTTTTGGTATGAATGTCTGTATTTGTTGTTTTAAATTTTTGAAAAAAATTGGAATAAGAAATATAAATTGTATGTGTTGCTAGCCTATGATTTGAATATTAGACAGCAGCAGCAGCAACAACAATATAGAAACACACAATCTTTAGCTACGCATATGTATATTTAGTTGATATATAAAGGCAAACGTTTATTTGATAGTTTTAATCTAATACACTATCGCACAAAAGTAATGCTCCCCTCCCCTTGCCCTCACCAGCCTTCAGCATTACACACTAAGCAGTAACATACATTTTGCGAAACGAAAAAAAAAGCCACAGCAAAGATAGATGAATCAAATAAAAAACGCTAAAAATCAACCTACACACATATTTTGACGCATTTTCTTTAACACTGAGAGAAATTTTTGGAGTAAATTAAGATTTTTGTTAAACAATCAATTGCTTTATCAAGTTTTGAAGGAATTTTAAATTAAATTTAAAGAAAAAAAAGAAAAAATTTTTAAAATTCTTTAAAAAATTTCTATAAAAATTTTTCAAAGTGTATTCTAAAATTCTTAGAGTTAAGTAATTACCCAAGATTTTTTTCCTAAAATTGATTTCTAATAATTTTGCCAGTGTATCTAACTTACGCACTATAACATTTTCTTTTATAACATTTTTAACCAGACCCCCCAACTCCTCCAAATGTCTAAGTGTCCACCACCTGGGCTTTAGTAACACATAGAGCTGCTATAAGCACCAGCACTAGCACCACCAACCTTTAAATATTTCATGCGAATACGCACGAATAACAAAAAAAAAAAAAAACATATGCAGGCATATGTTCTTATCTAAGATTTGCGATAATTTGGGGCGTATTTATTTCAGTTGCTGCCAAAAAAACCGCTCAACTAGCGAACGTCGCAACGGCTGGGCCTTTTTTTAGTTGTTGTTAAATTGTATATATCATTAAATGTTGGCAACTGTTTAAAACAAAAAAAACTAATGGAAAACTTTTATAACCCAGAAATTTTAATTTAAATTGTTTATAGAAATGCTATAAAATACTATAAAACATTTTTCAAAATAATTACTTTTGTGCAATTATGGGCTAATGCTTTATGTTTTAAAGACTCTAAAATAATAAATTATAATATTTAAGTTATAAAGGCTTAATAAATTACCAAAAAATATCATTAATTACATAAAGCATTACCTTGAAATAAAGCAATTAATTAATTGCTAATTGAAAAAATGAAAAAAAAATCAATTTATAAAATTTTTCCAATTTTAGTGAAATATCAATAAGTAACGTTGATTTCATTGAATAATTTTATATTTCAAAAGTAATTCTTAAGTAATGCTTTAATATTTTAAGGTAATGCTTAACTAATTTTTATAAAATTTGGACATTTAAATAACAATTTGATGATTCCTTAGCATTCTTTGAATTTTATTCAAAGAATTACTTACAAAACTTAAGTAATGCTAAAGATTTTTAAGTAATGCTCTAGTGATCTAATAAAAAACCAATAATAGCAAGTAATGCTATGTCAATGCTTATTAATTACTGGAATTTTTAAAGAAAACCTTAATAATAATCGATAAACTTATTCCATGGAATAATTTACATTTTCACAGTAATTGTTAAATAATGCTTTAATATTTTAAGGTAATGCTTAACTAATTTTTATAAAATTTTGTCTTTTAAATAATAATTTGATGTTTTCTTAGTATTCTTTGAGTTTTTTTCAAGTAATTACTTATAATGCTTAACTAATGCTAAAGATTTTTAAGTAATGCTCTGGAAAATTTTAACATATTTCATGATATAAAGTTATGTAATCATTAGAGATCTCATAAAAAGCCAATAATAGCAAGTAATGCTAAGTCAATGCTTATTAATTACTGGTGTTTTTAAAGAAAACCTTAATAATATATCGATATATTAATTTCAATTTATAAAAATTTTTTAATTTCAGTGAGATATTAATAAGTAAACTTGATTCCATTGAATAATTTTATATTTTAACAGTAATTGTTAAGTAATGCGTTATTTTAAGGTAATGCTTAACTAATTTTTATAAAATTTGGACATTTAATTAACAATTTGACGATTCCTTAGTATTCTTTGA